CTAACGTAAGTGCTTTATTTTTCCTAATGGGAATTGGAATGTTGATTTACTAAATCTGTGTTTTAATGCGGAAGATGTTAAGGCCATTAGCTCTATCCCCTTGAGTGTTAATTATCACAAAGATAGATGATTTTGGCATTATATGACTAATGTAATTTATTTGTGAAAAGTGTTTATAGGCTAGAGATGTCAAAAAAACAAAGAGTGCAGTGGGGTTGTTGGCTCCTCTTCGGAACCAAGAATACGGAATGCTTTCTGGAGAAAAGTTTGTTCCCAAGAGGTACCACAAAAACTCTTATATTTTAATTGGAGAGTTATTAAAAATTATCTTCCTTGTAAATCTAATTTATGCTAAAAAGGAAAATAATCTCTGATGACTCCTGCCCCATTTATAATGTGATTTCTGAGAGTGTAATACATGCACTGTGGAGTTGTCCTAATGCCCAAAAAATTTGGAAAACAGTGCAGTTAAGTGAGGTATTTACAAATGTGCACTTTTCCAACTATGAGAATTTATTTGAAGTTGCCACTATTTATCTTTCAAAGTATGAAATGTGCATATTTTTATATATTTGCTGGAGCCTATGGAAAAACTGATATAAAGTGGTTGTTGAAGGTCATTCTTGTGTGCAAGAGGAGATTTTCAATAGAGCTATTTTCTTGGATGATGAATATGGAAATCTTGTTGAAGGTGAACCTAAAATAGATGTTGAGAAGCCAACCAAATGGTCTCCTCCCACTACTACAAAAAAGGAAAAACACGACGGGAATTCACCGTCGTGTATTCCGTTTTCAAATGGTCGTGAAATCGACCAACATCTTTTCCCTAATCAAACCACGACGCTAAATCACCGTCGTTAAAACAAACAACGTCATTAACAAATAAAAACCGACGTCTGTGTACTGGAAAAAGAGTTAAAAAAAACAGTCAAGGATGAGAATAGACGACCAATTCTAACAAAAAAATATCGTTAAAAAGGCAACATATGACATATTTTAACAGAATATGGCTGCAAGATATACATACAATGACGAGAACTAAAACTCACCGCCGTTAAATATACCTTTCACGACAAATAAAAATATGACGTCTTTAAATACATAATCGACGACGTTATTGATAATCGATGACGTTATTGATTCCTACTACGTCACTACAGTTTCAACAACCATTGTGAAATAAATTTTCCACTTCAATTTTTCTATTAATGATGACGTGGAAATAGATGTTAGGGTCATTACTTACAACGCATGTATTTATACAAACGACGTTGTACTCAATAAACAACGTCGGGTCCAAATAAATGAGAGCCGTATTACAAAATTTATACGTCATCTTTTAAAATATAATCGTCGTCTAATGCATCTGAGACGGCAACGTTTCTCAGTCGATCGCCGTGTAAAATTATTTTAACGACACTATCTGAAAATAAACGACGTGAAAAATATGTTGGGGTCATTACTTATGACACATTCATTTATACAGATGACGTTGTCGTCAATATACAATGTCATTATCATGCAAAAGAAAGCCGTGTTTCAGAATTTATACGTCATCATTAACAAAATTACCGTCGTCTAATTCCGATTAGACGGCGTTGTTTATCCGAAATTCGCCGTGTAAAGTAATTTTAACAACATGATCATAAGAAAAGAGACGTGGATACATTCATATAACACTGTTTTTGTAAAGGAACGACGTCCAAATATATCTTAACGTCGACAAATTTACCAATGGATTTCAAATACCGTCGTGAATTAATCCTTTTCCACTTCGTTTATGAAATAACATGCGACGTGGTAAAATTAAGACGATGTCATCTTTTATAACGTTCAGGTTAGATATCTCGTCTTTTAGACGTTGGTATTATGGGATTGGAGTCGTGTTATTTGGAATTACATGGCGGCTCTTTATGCTTCTCCGACGTGATATCCTTAATAACTGTTTCACAATAGCGTCGTGGTTCTTCATTGTTACGTTGCTTTAAGACGTCGGTAAATATATTGCGGTCCTTGAATGCTCCAAAACGTCGTTTTTTATTAGAACAGATGTTTGTTTTTCACATTTTTATCAAGACCGTCGTGTTTGTAATCTTGAACCAGTATTTTTTGTACTGATTGTTTTGTGGCCAAAACCTGTATAATGAAAGTGAAGAAATCACATTACAATATATTACAAAATTAATGTCATACACTGCCAATTACATAA